TGCTGCATTACCTTGACCTTGTAGCCTGGTATAACCAATGCTGCATTACCTTGACCTTGTAGCCTGGTATAACCAATGCTGCATTACCTTGACCTTGTAGCCTGGTATAACCAATGCTGTATTACCTTGACCTTGTAGCCTGGTATAACCAATGCTGCATTACCTTGACCTTGTAGCCTGGTATAACCAATGCTGCATTACCTTGACCTTGTAGCCTGGTATAACCAATGCTGCATTACCTTGACCTTGTAGCCTGGTATAACCAATGCTGTATTACCTTGACCTTGTAGCCTGGTATAACAAATGCTGCATTACCTTGACCTTGTAGCCTGGTATAACCAATGCTGCATTACCTTGACCTTGTAGCCTGGTATAACCAAAGCTGCATTACCTTGACCTTGTGGCCTGGTATAACCAATGCTGCATTACCTTGACCTTGTAGCCTGGTATAACCAATGCTGCATTACCTTGACCTTTACCTGTAGCTATATAACAATCACTAAAATGTATAAAAACTTAAGATCAGTATTTTAGCAGTGGTTATTAATAATGGTAAAATTTTACATTGAGAGACTGCAATGTACAGGAAATGGTCAAATGTGCATCTAGATTTTAAACAGTCTGGCTGTTGAATTTTGAATGTATCACACGAATTGGGATATATTTCACTCCATCTCAAGCTATGAATTTGGTAAATATTGCCTTTATCTCTCCTATGAGTCAGATGAATTTTCCCTCTTTCTCCCATGAGTGAGATGAATTTTCCCTCTTTCTCCCATGAGTGAGATGAATTTTCCCTCTATCTCCTATGAGTGAGATGAATTTTCCCTCTTTCTCCCATGAGTGAGATGAATTTTCCCTCCATCTCCTATGAGTGAGATGATTTTTTTCTCTTTATCCCATGAGTGAGATGAATTTTCCCTCTTTCTCCCATGAGTAAGATGAATTTTCCCTCTATCTCCTATGAGTGAGATGAATTCCCTCTTTCTCCCATGAGTGAGATGAATTTTCCCTCAATCTCCTATGAGTGAGATGATTTTTTTCTCTTTATCCCATGAGTGAGATGAATTTTCCCTCAATCTCCTATGAGTGAGATGAATTTTCCCTCTATCTCCTATGAGTGAGATGAATTTTCCCTCCATCTCCCATGAGTGAGATGATTTTTTTCTCTTTATCCCATGAGTGAGATGAATTTTCCCTCCATCTCCTATGAGTGAGATGATTTTTTTCTCTTTATCCCATGAGTGAGATGAATTTTCCCTCTATCTCTTATGAGTGAGATGAATTTTCCCTCTATCTCCTATGAGTGAAATGAATTTTCCCTCTTTCTCCCATGAGTGAGATGAATTTTCCCTCTATCTCTTATGAGTGAGATGAATTTTCCCTCTTTCTCCCATGAGTGAGATGAATTTTCTCTCCATCTCCTATGAGTGAGATGAATTTTACCTCTTTCTCCCATGAGTAAGATGAATTTTCCCTCTTTCTCCCATGAGTGAGATGAATTTTCCCTCTTTCTCCCATGAGTGAGATGAATTTTCTCTCCATCTATGAGTGAGATGAATTTTCCCTCTTTCTCCCATGAGTGAGATGAATTTTCCCACAATCTCCTATGAGTGAGATGAATTTTCCCTCTATCTCCTATGAGTGAGATGAATTTTCCCTCTTTCTCCCATGAGTGAGATGAATTTTCCCTCTATCTCCTATGAGTGAGATGAATTCCCTCTTTCTCCCATGAGTGAGATGAATTTTCCCTCTTTCTCCCATGAGTGAGATGAATTTTCCCTCTTTCTCCCATGAGTGAGATGAATTTTCTCTCCATCTCCCATGAGTGAGATGAATTTTCCCTCTTTCTCCCATGAGTGAGATGAATTTTCCCACAATCTCCTATGAGTGAGATGAATTTTCCCTCAATCTCCTATGAGTGAGATGAATTTTCCCTCTTTCTGCCATGAGTGAGATTAATTTTCCCTCTTTCTCCCATGAGTGAGATGAATTTTCCCTCCATCTCCTATGAGTGAGATGATTTTTTTCTCTTTATCCCATGAGTGAGATGAATTTTCCCTCTATCTCTTATGAGTGAGATGAATTTTCCCTCTTTCTCCCATGAGTGAGATGAATTTTCCCTCTTTCTCCCATGAGTGAGATGAATTTTCCCTCTTTCTCCCATGAGTGAGATGAATTTTCTCTCCCATGAGTGAGATGAATTTTCCCTCTTTCTCCCATGAGTGAGATGAATTTTCTCTCCATCTCCCATGAGTGAGATGAATTTTCCCTCTTTCTCCCATGAGTGAGATGAATTTTCCCTCCATCTCCTATGAGTGAGATGATTTTTTTCTCTTTATCCCATGAGTGAGATGAATTTTCCCTCTATCTCTTATGAGTGAGATGAATTTTCCCTCTTTCTGCCATGAGTAAGATGAATTTTCCCTCTTTCTGCCATGAGTAAGATTAATTTTCCCTCTTTCTCCCATGAGTGAGATGAATTTTCCCTCTTTCTCCCATGAGTGAGATGAATTTTCCCTCTTTCTCCCATGAGTGAGATGAATTTTCCCTCCATCTCCTATGAGTGAGATGATTTTTTTCTCTTTATCCCATGAGTGAGATGAATTTTCCCTCTTTCTGCTATGAGTAAGATTAATTTTCCCTCTTTCTCCCATGAGTGAGATGAATTTTCCCTCTTTCTCCCATGAGTGAGATGAATTTTCCCACAATCTCCTATGAGTGAGATGAATTTTACCTCTTCCTCCCATGAGTGAGATGAATTTTTCCTCTTTCTCCCATGAGTGAGATGAATTTTCCCTCCATCTCCTATGAGTGAGATGATTTTTTTCTCTTTATCCCATGAGTGAGATGAATTTTCCCTCTTTCTCCCATGAGTGAGATGAATTTTCCCTCTTTCTCCCATGAGTGAGATGAATTTTCCCTCTTTCTCCCAAGAGTGAGATGAATTTTCCCTCTATCTCCCATGAATTTTCCCTCTTTCTCCCATGAGTGAGATGAATTTTCCCTCTTTCTCCCATGAGTGAGATGAATTTTCCCTCTTTCTCCCATGAGTGAGATGAATTTTCCCTCTTTCTCCCATGTGTGAGATGAATTTTCCCTCTTTCTCCTGTGTGTCAGATGAATTTTCCCTCTTTCTCCTGTGTGTCAGATGAATTTTCCCTCTATCTCCCATGAGTGAGATGAATTTTCCCTCTTTCTCCCAAGAGTGAGATGAATTTTCCCTTCTCCATGAGTGAGATGAATTTTCTCTCTCCCATGAGTGAGATGATTTTTCCCTCTCTCTCTTATGAGTGAGATGAATTTTCCCTCTTTCTCCCATGAGTGAGATGAATTTTTCTTTCTCCCATGAGTGAGATGAATTTTCCCTCTTTCTCCCATGAGTGAGATGAATTTTCCCTCTTTCTCCCATGAGTAAGATGAATTTTCTCTCTTTCTCCCATGAGTGAGATGAATTTTCCCTCTTTCTCCCATGAGTGAGATGAATTTTCCCTCTTTCTCCCATGAGTGAGATGAATTTTCCCTCTTTCTCCCATGAGTGAGATGAATTTTCCCTCTTTCTCCCATGAGTGAGATGAATTTTCCCTCTTTCTCACATGTGTGAGATGAATTTTCCCTCTTTCTCCTGTGTGTCAGATGAATTTTCCCTCTTTCTCCTGTGTGTCAGATGAATTTTCCCTCTATCTCCCATGAGTGAGATTAATTTTCCCTCTTTCTTCCATGAGTAAGATGAATTTTCCCTCCATCTCCCATGTGTGAGATGAATTTTCCCTCTTTCTCCCAAGAGTGAGATGAATTTATCCCTCGTTCTCCCATGAGTGGGATGAATTTTCCCTCTTTCTCCCATGAGTGAGATGAATTTTCCCTCCATCTCCTATGAGTGAGATGAATTTTACCTCTTTCTCCCATGAGTGAGATGAATTTTCCCTCAATCTCCTATGAGTGAGATGAATTTTACCTCTTTCTCCCATGAGTGAGATGAATTTTTCCTCTTTCTCCCATGAGTGAGATGAATTTTACCTCCATCTCCTATGAGTGAGATGATTTTTTTCTCTTTATCCCATGAGTGAGATGAATTTTCCCTCTTTCTCCCATGAGTGAGATGAATTTTCCCTCCATCTCCCATGAGTGAGGTAATTTTTTTTCTCTGTATCCTCTAAGTGAGGTCAGTTTTACCTTTTTTCTCCTTCTTTGTGGTAGGTGAATTTGAGCAAACAAAAAAGATTTCTCTCGATTTTAAAGGTCAATATTTGAGAAACTCTGGTGTTCCATCTTCATACATTGTCAGCTGTTTTTTGTTGAGTAACGGTACTGTTTGTGCCGTATATGTTTATACTACATTACATAGTTGCTAGGTGCAGCTGACAAACCACAGTATTTACCCATGTTGATCAAACCTGCACAGTAGTTTATGACAAGCCACAGTATTTACCCATGTTGATCAAACCTGCACAGTAGTTTATGACAAGCCACAGTATTTACCCATGTTGATCAAACCTGCACAGTAGTTTATGGTTTTGTCATCAGTGGTACTGATTTAAATGTGTTTACATCCCTCAACATAAATGTAGTTTAAAGTTGAAGAGGCATGTAAGATTGTGGATATCATGTTACATTATGTATTTGTAAATAAAAAACATTTAATCATTTGCTTTTGGAACTATTTTGTTTTCGTGGCGTTGACAATGACGCCTAATTGACATCTCCTACTGCTTCTTGTTTGATGTAACAGCTATTGAACTTGTCACTGTTCTAAGAATGTGTTTAAGGTTATTCAATTTTTAATGCTTGATGAAAATCTGTGGTTTTCAAATATAAAAAAGGCACCAAGCAATGTACAATAACCCTAATGTAAACTATCAATGCATGCACAGAATGTAGATGACAATCCTTGATTATATCTAACTGACTATAAACAGTTTACTGTACCACTAGTGAAATACACATCATTTTTGGGATCACGTTTTCTGTATTTCAGCTTTTTGATCTGATAATTCTTCGATGAACTGTTGCTATTGACCAAAATACTATGAAGAGGAAATTCTAAGTGTTGTTTGAAAACATTGTGAGAGAAAGAGATTTCACCGGTAAAACATGAAGTGAAAGAGCTTTCATCCAGTAACCAGGTAAGTACACGGTGTGAAACATGTTCCTGTAGGAGATCTTTAGTCAATAAAAACATAAATATTTACTTTTTTCCCTTTAAATTTAAATCTGGGTAATGCAATACAAGTATAAACAAGTTTTAATTAAAATGAAATATATTTTATAGGTTGTAGATTGATAAGGAATGATTATTCTAACTTTCCTTTTCATTGAAATAGTGATAATAAAAACAGATTTAAGAAGTTATCACACAGATATGTATGAGAGATATTTATTTCAGCAGCAGGGGGAAGATGTGTGGTAATGTAAAGTGATGGTAGGATGAAGAACAGCTATGGTGGTGAGTGAACTGACCTCAATGAAAGCTTTATAAATGTACACTATATCTTTATTGATGATGTTGACAGTCTGTTTATTGTACTGGATGCTTACATCATTGATTATATAATGTTGAAGTGTGTTTTGTTCCCAATTTCATTTCTTGTTTTTATAAGGCTTTTCCAAACTTCTGGTCAGAAGATAGTGTTCATCTGTCAGTTCATGTGTAAACTTAATGAGATGTTGCAGTTTTTAACTTTTCCCTTCAATACATGATAGGAAAAGTTATTATGACATTTCAATTCAACAAAATTGAGAGACTTAATTGTGATTTAGTTGTCTTTATCATCAATGTATTTACCTAAGTAGTATCTTAATTATTTTGTCTTTTGGTTCAAAATTTCACTCTTGTCAAGATTTTAAGTTAGTTTATGCTGCTACATAGCATCTTTCAGCCAGTGTCAATTTATCCCAATTTTTCAATAACCAAGGGGCCCAGGTGTACTGATAAAGTGCTATAGCATAGTACATCCAAATGAATGACCTTGACGTCTTTGCCAAGTCACAAGGGACAAATGTATTAAAATATAATTTCTTCCTCATACCTGAAAGTCCTTGGATACTGATATTGGGCCTATAGTTTGTTGCAATAAAAGCTGCCAAATTTGTGAAAATGAATTACCTTGAACAACTTTCAAAGTTACTGGGGTCAAATGTGTTAAAACTCTTAATTACCAAAAGGCCTTGGGTACTGATATTGGGTTTACAATGAACTATCAAGCTTGCTCATAGTTATTGTGTCATTTGCATATTTGTATTTATTTGATAGAGCAAGGTAAATGCACTTTTCCTTGACTTAGGAAGATTGTTTCACCCTTGGTACTCTTGTTAGAGTGAATTCATCAGCACAAATAGTTGGAAATAAAAACAAATCATTATCATCATAGCAATAGGTGTTTATATATTCTGATTACATGAAATTGTGTAAAGAGGAGGAGGTAGAGGGGAGTTGATGCTCAGGTTGAGTACTTGTTTGCTGTTTGAAATTAAACAAACAGTTACGTGTGTATAATAATCCATATTGGTTGCCAAAGATTGAATTTCTAGACTTAGATATAGTTATGTAATGTAATGAGATGTTTTGAGGAATAATAATCTGTCTACATAGATTATTGAAAGTTTGCCAAAACACAAACCTTGATTCATTGCGGTGAAATAATCTACCACTACCTCATACATAAGGATATAATAAAAAAAATCACAGTTGAAACTTGTGTATGACCATCTTTATGGACAATTTTTATCTATGAAAATGCATCTTTATATTCAGGCTAAATAGACAGGAAATCAAGATTAATGTTTGTTTTGAAGTATTGTTCTTAATTGACCAGTAAACTATACACCCACAGTCTTGTTTTATCTATGTCTTACTCATTGGACTGGAAAATGGATTTATCAGGTGTTTAGCTCCATGGATATCAAAGTTTGCTTGTACTGTAAAATATTATAAAAATGCTGAATTTGTAAAACTTACAAGATGGCTTGTCTTATGTTGTATGTGTAACATGTCATATTATCAGTTTAGGGATGGGGTTTTTTTTTGCCAATGTTTTTCTACTACATGTTAAAGTTCATGTGAATAACTTAACATTGACAGCTAGATAGTCATGACTAAACATAGACAGATAAATGATTAGTCATGACTAAACATAGACAGATAAATGATTAGTCATGACTAAACATAGACAGATAAATGATTAGTCATGACTAAACATAGGCAGCTAGATTGTCAGTCTGGAATAAACATTGACAGCTAGGTAGTCAGTCTGGACTAAACATTGACAGCTAGCTAGTCAGTCTGGACTAATCATTGACAGCAAGCTAGTCAGTCTGGACTAAACATTGACAGCTAGCTAGTCAGTCTGGACTAAACATTGACAGCTAGATAGTCAGTCTGGACTAACATTGACAGCTAGCTTGTCAGTCTGGACTAAACATTGACAGCTAGATAGTCTGTCTTGACTAAACATTGACAGCTAGATAGTCTGTCTTGACTAAACATTGACAGCTAGATAGTCTGTCTTGACTAAACATTGACAGCTAGATAGTCTGTCTTGACTAAACATTGACAGCTAGCTTGTCAGTCTTGACTAAACGTTGACAGCTAGATAGTCAGTCTGGACTTATCATTGACAGAGGGTATGGTGTATTATAGAGAGATATCACCACCATTAGGCTGCAGGAGGGTATGGTGTTATATAGAGAGATATCACCACCATTAGGCTGTAGGAGGGTATGGTGTTATATAGAGAGATATCACCACCATCAGGCTGTAGGAGGGTATGGTGTTATATAGAGAGATATCACCACCATTAGACTGTAGGAGGGTATGGTGTTATATAGAGAGATATCACCACCATCAGGCTGTAGGAGGGTATGGTGTTATATAGGGAGATATCACCACCATTAGGCTGCAGGAGGGTATGGTGTTATATAGAGAGATATCACCACCATTAGGCTGTAGGAGGGTATGGTGTTATATAGAGAGATATCACCACCATTAGGCTGTAGGAGGGTATGGTGTTATATAGAGAGATATCACCACCATTAGACTGTAGGAGGGTATGGTGTTATATAGAGAGATATCACCACCATCAGGCTGTAGGAGGGTATGGTGTTATATAGAGAGATATCACCACCATCAGGCTGTAGGAGGGTATGGTGTTATATAGAGAGATATCACCACCATTAGTCTGTAGGAGGGTATGGTGTTATATAGGGAGATATCACCACCATCAGGCTGTAGGAGGATATGGTGTTATATAGGGAGATATCACCACCATTAGGCTGTAGGAGGGTATGGTGTTATATAGGGAGATATCACCACCATCAGGCTGTAGGAGGGTATGGTGTTATATAGAGAGATATCACCACCATTAGGCTGTAGGATGGTATGGTGTTATATAGAGAGATATCACCACCATCAGGCTGTAGGAGGGTATGGTGTTATATAGAGAGATATCACCACCATTAGACTGTAGGAGGGTATGGTGTTATATAGAGAGATATCACCACCATCAGGCTGTAGGAGGGTATGGTGTTATATAGAGAGATATCACCACCATTAGACTGTAGGATGGTAAGGTGTTATATAGAGAGATATCACCACCATCAGGCTGTAGGAGGATATGGTGTTATATAGGGAGATATCACCACCATTAGGCTGTAGGAGGGTATGGTGTTATATAGGGAGATATCACCACCATCAGGCTGTAGGAGGGTATGGTGTTATATAGAGAGATATCACCACCATTAGACTGTAGGATGGTAAGGTGTTATATAGGGAGATATCACCACCATCAGGCTGTAGGAGGATATGGTGTTATATAGGGAGATATCACCACCCTCACTAATGTCCTGGATATTATATACATTTATAGCCTTGTCCACCATCTGCATTTTGACAGTCTCACTGGTCACCATCATTAGATTGAAAAATGTCTCGCTTACAAGATATATTTTGAAATTTGATTGTTAGAAAATTAATTATTTTTGTGTATAATTTCCATCCTAGAACTTGAGCTAATAGAACCACTTTTTCTGAGATCAAAGTGAAAGATAGAAATGATTTAGGATTGTTATTAATGATGTAGATGTCATTGATAATAAATACAAATGGGGAGAGCTATTGTAGATGTATTGATTTATTTTCTTTAGTGCTGTAATTAGTAAAGATGAATTATACAAGCCTACAAGGACTGGGCTTTATACAAAATTAACCCTTGTCTTTCCATTAAAAAATCTACTGAAAATTTTCTTTACATTGTAATTGTTTACATTCAAACTCAAAATAAATATCTTTACACAGAAACTTTCTGAACTTAAGAAGTATTACCTTGATATTTATTTATGAAGGGTTCCACCTTACTACTCAGGTTAAAGCAAGCTTCCATCACCTGTTTTATTACCCAGCCTGATAAAGATGTGCACTCAGAGTGAGGCTGTTCTCAGCAGCAAGCCTCATCCTGAATGTGGCTCCCAGCAGCCGTACCTGCTGGTTTGTATCACTTAATATCTCTAGTCAAACTTCTGCACTAAAACATACCTTGATAAAAGTTGGAATTACCCAAAGCTTGTCCAACTAATCAAAGACGATCAGTGTACAGAAGTTTGATGATATACATCTTGGTATTGCTACTGAACACTACATCAGTCATTCTTAGGATAAGTAGTAGTTATAATAATGAAGTAGGTTTGAGATACTAACAATCTGGTATACCATATTCACCAAAATTCCTGCCCCTCCCTGTTCATGCAAATGCAGCAAATTATATTGAAAGCAATACCAGACATATCACACCTGTTGGGGTACCCAGAGATATCACACCTGTCAAGGTACCCAGAAATATCACACCTGTTGGGGTACCCAGAGATATCACACCTGTCAAGGTACCCAGAAATATCACACCTGTTGGGGTACCCAGAGATATCATACCTGTTGGGGTACCCAGACATATCACACCTGTCAAGGTACCCAGAAATATCATACCTGTCAGGGTACCCAGAGATATCAAACCTGTTGGGGTACCCAGAAATATCACACCTGTTGGGGTACCCAGAGATATCACACCTGTTTGGGTACCCAGAGATATCATACCTGTCAAGGTACCCAGAAATATCACACCTGTCAAGGTACCCAGAAATATCACACCTGTCAAGGTACCCAGACATATCACACCTGTCAAGGTACCCAGAGATATCACACCTGTCAAGGTACCCAGACATATCACACCTGTCAAGGTACCCAGAAATATCACACCTGTCAAGGTACCCAGACATATCACACCTGTCAAGGTACCCAGAGATATCACACCTGTTGGGGTACCCAGACATATCACACCTGTCAAGGTACCCAGAGATATCATACCTGTTTAGGTACCCAGACATGCCACACCTGTTGGGGTACCCAGAGATATCACACCTGTCAAGGTACCCAGAGATATCACACCTGTCAAGGTACCC